GTATGTCAAACCAAATTATGACTTTGGCTATTAAGCGTTCGCTTTTTAGTCCAACATTTACAGCCTTGTTTTGGCAATTGTTGAGGGGCGGTGAGACAGGGTCATGTGAGCTTTTAGGATATGGAAGCTTGCCCTGGCCTTTCCGGAGCATTTCCGTTGAGATAACCCCTGGGTCAGGTTCTGGCCTTGTTCTGACTTCTGGTGTATCGTGCTCATCTATACGCCGCATTTTGAGATATAAACGTGGCTGAAAATGTCTAAAAATTGCCGTCTCCACTGACTCGCTTGGCGCATAGTACTCCGTCGTTCTACAGCGTGCAGCGTACTTTTGTTCAGATATGATCACTGGATCAGGCAACACAATAACTGAGTATGATGCAAGTCAATGTCTATCTTTATCGTTTGTGGGTCAATAAGGAGCGCATAGTATCGGACCTTGTACTGTCTGCCACTGCGCGATCGCGATGGAAGACAGTTGATTTAGGCGCTTACTCCGCAGCACTGCGCCTAGAGCTTAAAGCTTAGATGCCCTTGGGCTACGGCCCCTGGCGATCTTCCGAGCGTAGGGATGTAAAGGACTCCTCGGCACCAAGTGGTCAACGTCCCCGGTGTGGACAAGGTGAGGGCCAGCTTCATCAAGTGAGGTGATTCCAGTATTTCGCATAGCGGTTTCCAATTCGTCCCGCAGAACTAACAATGTCAGCGCGTTGTCCAGGGAATATGCAGGTGAACAGGGAACTTACTGTCGATCAGATGCTCAACTCCAGCTTGGCCATAGTTGGTAGCGAAGAGCATGCTGCGTCCCATCCCCACTGCGGTTGCGCCTAGGCAGATGGCTTTCAGAATGTCTGTTCCCCGCCGGATGCCGCTGTCCACATAGATCTCCATCCTGTCAAAAATCTCCGGACAGCGCTTGTGAAGCTCAAGAAGGGTAATAATCGACGGAGGACTCGTATCGAGATTACGCCCGCCGTGATTGCTGAGCAGAATACCGTCCAAACCGGCTTCCATCGCCAAGATGGCATCGTCTGCAGACATGATGCCTTTCAAGCATACAGGAAGATGGGTGTGTTTGCGAACCCATACAAGATCCTCCCATGTCAGTCCAGGGTCAATGAAGCTTGCCATCACTCGTCCCAACCCGCCGCCTTTGCTATCATTCTTTGCTTGTGAAGGGGCCATAGGAACGGATAAGCCCTCGTCAGCCTTGACTCTTTCGTCTGCTTCCCGCTTCCCCGGCCACGCCGCGTCGACCGTGACAAAGATTGCTTTGATATTAGGGTTAGCCGAGCATTTACGTAGAAGCGCCGCTGACTTTTCACGCTCTCTGTTGACATATAGCTGAAAGAAGAAGCTTGCATCTGGGGCAGCATCCCTAAGTTCCTCTATTGTGTACGAGGAGTTATTTGAAACCTGCCGCCATTATTAGCAAGAGGAAGAATCCGCGAGCCTCCAAGCACGTACCCCCTGCATGATCCCTCGGCTCTCACACGCCCGCGCAATGGCACATTCTCCATCCTGGTGGATAAGCTTGGCCATGGCCGCAGGGCTGACGAACAATGGAATAGAGCTGTCCACTCCGAGAATCTTTGACTTGGTATCCACAGACCGGACGTTTTTCAGCACCCGAGGACGAAACCAGATGCGATTAAAGCATGATTTGTTCGCATCACGCGTGATGAGATCCGTAGCTGCGCTGGAATAAAAAGCCCACGTCTTCTTACTGGCAGTTCTGGAAGCCACATGCTCGAAGTCGTGAGAGTTGATCAGCGTTTCGAGAGGCGGCTTGTCGTTCCCCCACACTGCTTCGGGGTTCTCGCTCGCTGGTTGCTTATGCCAGTTTTCGTCGATCGTCGACTCGTCAAGCTTGCCCTTATACTGATCCGGTGCCAGTTCTGCTTTCAAGAGCCCTGAGGTGTGAACCTCGGAGTACGCCCTGGTAGCATCGCGGCCAGCGTATTTCAAGATAACTAGAGACTTGATTAGCGATAGCACTCAGTGGGCCTCATCTTTTGATCTCACTTGTGGGCCCTCCGGGATGTGTGTCTAAGAAACCAGTCACGTCCCACACTTGGTTGTCGACCACGATCCAACAATCATCTGGCGTTTTGTGGCTGGATATTTCTTGAGTAGATATGAGCTTTTCTTGTGCCATCTTCCACAATAGATGTCGTGATCAGCCGCTGCGATTATCTGTTCAACCCGAAGACGCAAAAGCCAGATTATTCCGAATAGGATGAGCAGGCTGCGCCGTCTAAAAGGCCTCAATCCCTGCAGGATAATGCGGAGGGGGCGCGTGAAGTTATACGGGTTAGCTTTCGGGCTAAGTGCGTCCGAGGAACCCTGGACCTCCGCACTTCTCAGCGATAATGCGGAGATCGTTAGCAGGCCCACAGGGCAACGGGAATAAGTCCGCAAAATGGGTGGTTTTCATTCGCCATGGCTAAGAAGATCACATCAAACTTCTCGGAAAGTTCCCGATCAAAGGTGTCATATACGCTGTACAGAAGTCGTTGACTTCAAACACGTTCAGAGGCGCGACCTCATCTCGTACAGTTGAATGTCCCATATCCTGAAGGTCCTATCGGCTGCTTCGAAGCCTGCAAGGGTTATAGTGGCCAATCACGATGAGCGAGATATCAGCATTGTGTGCCTCTTGAATGGGCCCCGGCTAAGCCTAGAATTTCTCACTCTCCGGTCGAGTTTCGATTTTGGCAGAACGATCGGATGACTGTCGAAACGTGCGGGAACCGCATCAGCCACAACTTCAGTGGCTGGTGACCGCCAAGACTACGGTACCTAAGGCACGAATGGCGACGTTCAGCCTCTGAATGTTCTTCAGGTTCATAGAACACTGCATAAAGCCATTCGCTAGTCTACCGATGAATGTGGGCTTCTTCGTAGACAGCACCTTTAAGAAGCTTGGAAGTTTCAATACATCTTCTGTCCTCCTCCTTATCGCTAGAGGAACTAGAGGAATCAAGGCGTGCCCTCGATTATCGCTTCCTGTTTGCCAGAGCCAAGGTGTGTTCTTACTACTGATGTGCTCATTGACGGTCTCCTGGTGTCAGGCGGGAGTTGTCTTATTGTATATCTTGATGGCTTATATGCTCATAATTTGGCAGCGTCGTACACAACTGGTATTATCTCTCGGTCTTCGGTGCCCCATCCCACATTCACCAAACGGGGAAGCTCTGCGTATTTTTCTGCATCTGCCCACTGTCTCGCAATGGGTGAGACGAGTCTAACCCTTAGATATGTGGATGTGGGTTCTCTTCGTATGCGGTTTCTTCGTCGTCGGGAAGCTGATTAGAGGCTTAAAACTCAGATCGGAATCAACCTGAGTGACCCGGTATTCCAAGGCAACTACCACGGAAAACAAGTTCATGACGGTGACTTGGACGATATCATCGAACGAGCACGGGATGTTGGCTGCGAGAAGTTTATGGTAACCGGCTCTGACCTGGAGGAATCCAAGCGTGCGATCGAAATTGCTCAGAAGTACCGTATGTTGGTTGAACTCTAGCTTATCATTTAGGACAACGAGGACTAATGTTCATTAGCCGGCTTTTGCTACGCAACTGTTGGAGTTCATCCTTGTCAGGCCAAGCTGTTTGATAGCTTCCCCGGTGGTCCGGAAAGGCTGCTGGATGAGCTTCGGTCACTAGCACAAGAGGCAAAGCAAGCAGGCCATGCTGTTGCCTTTGGTGAATTCGGTTTGGATTATGACCGGCTTTTCCTGAGTCCCAAGGAGCCGCAACTGAAATATTTCGAGGCCCAGCTTGACCTCGCGGTTGAGATTCAGCTTCCGCTTTTTTTGCATTCAAGAGCAGCCAGTGAAGACTTTGAAAAGCTTCTAGCACCAAGGCTGGAAAAGCTCCCAAAACGAGGGCTCGTTCATAGCTTTACAGGAACTATGGAAGAGATGAACAGACTGGTGGCGCTTGGTTTGGATATTGGAGTCAACGGATGCAGCCTGAAGACCGAAGAAAATTTGGAAGTAGTAAAGGCCATCCCGTTAGAGCGAATTCAAATTGAGACCGATGGGCCTTGGGTAAGAATCATTATTGCCATGCTCGATCCTTTCTAGGCTGCTGACTTTACCGTACAGTGCGAGATCCGCCCCTCCCACGCGTCCTCGAAATTCCTGAATGGAGCTCCGCCATTGCCAAAGGCAGTCAAGAAGGAAAGATGGCAGAAGGGCTGTATGGTCAAGGGTCGCAATGAACCTGTTGCGATAGCCCAGGTTGCACATGTCATTGCTGGGGTCAAGGGAATAACTGTGGAGGAGGTCTGCGAAGCGTGAGTCTTCCCCGTGTACTGTAATCATTTCACCGCTAATTCTTTGCTCATAGCGCGTGGGCCAACTCTACCAGGATGTTTGGGCTCGGGGAAGAAGCCCCTTGATTCATCATATTCTCTCGCTGCTCTTCTTGCATAGCCCTAGCGGATTTTATGATGCCGAGGACGGAGAATCAGTCAGTCATGTATTTTTTATGTATAGAGCTACTAGATGGCGAAGAATTACCACTAAACCAAGTGGTTTATAGCGTCGGAGCCCTCAGACACTTTGTCAAGGATAGATATCCTTCTCTTACTGCCATGCAGATTACTGTTGTGGCGTCCATCCTTCTTTCCTTCTCCACCTCCTTCCACTCAACTTCCCTAAGTTTCTAGGGCTGCCTGAGCAATTCACTCGGGGCCTATCAGGCAAGAATTTCTGCCTTCGCAAAATTCGCAGGCGTGTCATTTTTGACTGTTTGTCAGCCAAAAGACTGCAATAAGTACATTGATCCTGCTACTGCTCCTTCTCAACCATGCCTTCTTAGCCACCTCGACATCTTCCTTTTTGGCTGTTCCTCGGGCCCCTGGTGTACTGGCAGTGTCTTATGATTCTGTTTCGGGCTGCACACTTGGAGGCCTTTTTTTGCAGTGTCCTGTGGTTGTTTACTTCTCTTCCACCTCACCGCCCCGGTCCCTTTTTACTATAACACTGAACCTTTCTTTATTCACCCACCACTCTTCTGCATAGTGGGCATTAACCAGAAATCAAGCATTTTGTCGTCTGTTCTGTCCAGCTCGACTATTCACACCTCCTTTCAACATGGTTGGCCTTCAGGTGGACAGCTAGGCTTCCCCAGTCTACCTTAGATTGGTCGTCTTTTTTCTTTCTTCATTTCTGTTCTGTTTTGACGGCTACGTCAATTTTTGCAGTCTATACTCTCTTTCAAGCTTCTGCAGAATTTCGACAGTATTCCCTTTTTTTTGACCCCTGGGCGACGCGTCGAGTTAGCCGTCTATTACCTCTTTGAAACGCTTTGACGATGACGTACCCGCTGATAAAAAAGACCACCAACAACATTAATGAAAGCCAGCAAGGTATATCTCGTCAAGCTGACCCGTGTGCTATATTGCTAGCTAACGGCGGTCCTCGCTATAGTCGACAAACAGGGCACCAGGGTCTCGTCGCTGAGCTCCGTGGATTCAGATGTTGGACTGCCAGAACTAGAACTCCCTGAGAATTTCGGGGAGGTTGTGAAAGGAATCTACCGCAGCTCGTTTCCTCAGCCCTGGAACCTTCCGGCGCTCAGAGCTCTAGGATTACGAACCGTCATGTAAGGCCTTGTCCCTGTCATCTCCAAACTATGACTTACGCACAGTTCACAGTACCCTCGTCGACGAGCCTTATACACAGAGCCACGAGAATTTCCTGAAAGAGAGTGGCATCAATCATCATCGCATCCCGTTCATTGCGAACAAGGATCCTGCTGTCAAAACACCAGATCGTGTCGTGAACGCCATTCTGCGACTCATGCTCAACAAGGCCAACCACCCTATTCTCATCCACTGCAATAAAGGAAAAGTAAGCACTGGAGTCCGAACATTCTTGGCCCAATCTCTAACTAGATGATAATAGCATCGTACTGGGTGTGTGACTGCGTGTTTTCGGAAGCTACAAGGTTGGGACAGGCAGGACATTCTCGACGAGTATCTCCGCTATTCTCGCCCAAAACAACGACTGCTAGACGAGGTGTTTATAGATGAATTTGACCCCTCAACGCTCTCTCGACTGCCCCAGGTTTCTGATGCAAAGTCGTGGGAACGCTCCGGAGCCTACAGCAATATACCACAAAGGAAAGACCAGAACTCGCCTGAGAACATTCTTCAGCCCGCTTGTAATGGTATTCGTGTGGCTTCTTAACTCCGGGGAACACTTTTCCTCCGGCAAACCAGAATTATGGAATTCTCTTTGATGATGAACAACTTTGATTCAGACTGTGTGGCATCAGCGGTGTTATGTGATATGTTTAACCGCTGAGCCAAATGTCTAAGGAGCCTATGTTTCTTTTGTTGCGGTGATTTATTGTATCAAATTCTATGCACTCGGAGCGAAGTTTTAATGATAGAGGGTTGTTTGATCATCTTGGGTTTTGCTTTTGTTTCCTTTGGCCTTTCTTCTTTACTATACCCTGCCCTTGGGCTCAAATATTTAAGTGCCCTTGTCATCTATACAATAAATTCATCCTCATGCGCATATACTAACTGTATCAACTCTTCCCATACAGCGCGACTTCTTGCCATTTCCTGCGTCCCAGATGTGACGATTTGCGGACTCATTCGAGCTGCGCAATAGGCATAGAGAGCATAGAGGTGCACATGCATTATTTATGTCTATTCTGAGTGGCTGTCTCCATATCAAAATACATAATTTACTCTACATCCGAAAGAACTATATAGCCTCCCTATCGAGGACTCTCCGATAACGGGCCTTCGGTCATAAATCATCACTGAGCATGTCAAAATCCTCTTTCCTACTGACATGCGAGCTTCGATCAATAGATGGACTTATCGGAAAGGACGTCTGACGTTGGTCTAAGTATGGCCGACCCTCGCACAGATCGATAAACTCCTGGTCATCTCCATGGTGATCAGTTGGTGAGGACTTTTGGCTAGGAGGAGGCGGAAAGCCGTTTGCGGACTCGGAATCCACATCAAGCATTTCGAGGTCTGTGTCTGGTCTTTCATGGCTGGCAAATGATAGTGGGACTGATGATGTGCATGTGTATGGCGATGTTAGGCTCATCTTGTCTTTAAAATGGGCTGGTAAGTTGCCTCTTAAGGCCAAATCCTCAAGAGGTTCTCCTGGAAATGGTGCTGGGTTAGTAGTATTCGAGTCTTCGAGGATCATGATTGAGTCATATTCGTCTCCACACTCTTCATAGTCGAAAATAAGATTGTGTTCGCTGCCGTCTGGGCAAATCTCCGAACTGAAGTCCAATCCGTAATCGGCATCGATGGGATCGTCGCCGATGTAGGCTGATTCCTCCGCCATTGTTTCAGAGAGGAGATTCTCATCCTGTGCCTTCTCGTCGCTGTCTGCGCCGGGCAATTGATTGGAAGAATGTTTCAGGTGCTTCGGGGTTGGTGCGCTATAGAGTCGTTTCTGGGCCATAGTCCAGAGCCTGGTCTTGATTATAGTCTTTAGGTTATTACTCCTCTGTGATATAGAAATGTGCGAGCTTGAGCTGAGTACTGATCCAGTGGAGGCAAGCTTGTCCTTGAGAGTTTGGTCATTGCTGTGTCCCACTAATGAGGTCAAGGATTTCGCGATTGACGGTATTAACCGTGACCGTTGGTTCATTGCCTGAATTGAGGAGTAAATACTGTCAGCTTGAGCCTTATGCTCTCGCCGTAGAGCTCACCTCACGATAGCCGAGCTTGAAAACTGAGGGCGCGATTCCGGATAGGCTTTGGAAGATGTCGTGTCTTGTTTGGCTCTTCCTGTGTCTTGCCACTCCAGACCCAAAAACCAGCGTCCTCAGTCCCTCTAGAAACAAGGTGCTAAGCTCTGAATAGGTGGAGATCTCGGGGCTTGTATGGGTAGGATATCCCCATCCTAGGTTCACTTCCTCCGTGTCGTTCTGGAGTAGCGAGTCGTGGGCCCTTTCCATGATTAGAATGTCGTTTGACAGATGGTATGTCCCAGAGCTACCCCCATCGTTGAACTCTGTTGTTGGTGTCAGATAGTTTCTTCGGCGTGGTTCAGTTTGTGAGCGCCGTTTCCGTTGTTTGTTGTAGTGACTATAATCCATGCGGACGTTGATGGAAGTTATACGGAAAGCCGATACGTCAGTAGGATGGACTGCGTCACTGGCATCTCTCAGAACCCTGGGTAATCTAGGGGTTGCCGCCCTCTGTTCTGGCCCAAGACGTTTCTGTATCCCAAACGAGAGAACGTATGCCGGTGTTGTCTGCTCGGACTCGTAGATGCAACTTTTGTAAAACACAGCCAGTTCTAGATCCGCCCACATCTGCAAATTGTCAGCTTGCTCAATAAATTGAGTCACAGCACACTCCAGGGCTACTAATTCGACAGAAATACCTTAGCCTTGCAAATAGAGTCCCCAAGTTGAGACACAAAACGTACGAAAACTGAGTGCAATTCGAAGATTGAAGCAATACAAACATGGAGCTTGATCTCAGGCGCTTGGGATACCCAAATATTGCCAGAGCTCAGTGCTTCTTTCAGGCGCCCCAGGTCGTGTATGTCTGGCCTCTCTGGAGGAAGCAACATCGACGCAGAAGCTCGTAAAAATAGCGTTAAATCTGAAACTGATGAAGAAAAGTTTATCTTCCCAAGATCTATAGAGTAACTCATGATATATGCTCTTTACAGATCGTAGCATACCGGTTTTGAAACAGGCCATTGTGTGTCGAAAAATTAGGGGAAATTCGGAGTTTTGCTGTACTGACTCGATGTGCTGACCAAATATATGTCCCAAATATATGTCCCAAGACTTACCCGGGAACCCCTCGCCAACGAAGAGATAGCCTTCTCTGCTTGCGAGTAGTTTCCAAGAGGCATAGGAGAATTATCTCGGAAAACGTGCTGAGCAGTCATTTTCGAGTTCTAACTCATTTTTGGGCGCTGTCGACTCGTCGAGATATTTCTAGGAACGTGCGTTTTAGGCGCTGTACCCTCGAGGATAAGTATCCCGTTGTAGCCATACGCTGAGCAGTACTAAATGTACATACTGAGACAGCTGCTTCCCAATTATAAAAATGCCATGCTGCCAATATCGTACATATTTGAGTTTGTGGAAGTGTGCGGAGTAGACTTGAAGCTGCGTATAGTTCTTAGATAAGCTTATCGATAAGCCTATCGATAAAACACTGTCACGTGCATACTGGCCACATTTGATGGAGCTCTTTCAGTAACATGATGGCTGTCAAGACTCTCAAAATCAGCAATGCGCGGTGATGAGAGACAACAACCTTTCCTGGCTGAAGCTGATGGACATGATAAGCTGGAATCACAGCGCCTTCTTTCAGATTTGTTGAACGAGGAGCACAATGATGCCGTTCTTCCCGATGAGCCGCCGTTGCGATCTACACCATTTCTACCTGCGGATGCAGGGCGTCGCCAGCCCCGGACACAGAACCGCGTGAGATTTGATATCGCTGAGGATACTGAGGATGAGGGACGTGTCAATGAGGACCATCGCGACTCTCAAGACGTACAGTGGCTGGACGAGGAGGACTACGTTGATAGGGGCCGCCCTGGGAGACATCATGCTGGGCAAAGAATACCCCTTTTAACGAACATCGAGGCACCCAGCGTTACCCTGGCCACGTCTGAGGAATTCTTCCCCGAGGAGCATCTCGAGGGCGCGAGGCCAAGGAGTGGGATGAAAATGGCGTTTATGAACATGGCGAACAGCATTATCGGGGCGGGAATCATCGGCCAACCTTACGCGCTGCGGCAATCGGGCATGGTGATGGGGATAATTCTTCTAGTCGCGCTCACTATCACCGTTGACTGGACTATCCGTCTGATAGTGGTCAATTCCAAGCTGAGCGGCGCGGATTCCTTCCAGGCAACGATGGAGCATTGTTTCGGAAAATCTGGCCTAATTGCCATCTCCGTGGCTCAATGGGCATTTGCGTTTGGTGGTATGATCGCCTTCTGCATTATTGTTGGGGATACCATACCCCACGTCTTAAGTTCCCTGTTTCCCTCTCTGCGAGAAATGTCGTTTCTTTGGCTCCTCACTGATAGGCGGGCCATAATTGTGCTCCTCGTTTTGGGTATCTCATACCCACTATCCTTATATCGGGATATTGCCAAGGTATGCTACCACTCATTACTCTGTTTCTGCTGCTGACTCTTGGGTAGTTAGCCAAAGCATCCACTTTGGCCTTGATAAGCATGGCCGTCATTGTTATTGCCGTTGTTACCCAAGGCTTCCGAGTCCCACACGAGTCTCGTGGTGACGTGAAAAGCCTGCTGTTGGTAAACACCGGCTTTTTTCAAGCTGTTGGAGTGATCTCATTCGGTAAGTCCAGTTGCAGTTCCCAACATCTTTTTGAACTATATACTAATAATTCTTAGCGTTTGTTTGTCGTACGTAGTGCTCCCCGGTCAGTACACCGCAGCTGACATTATCAAGACCATAATAGTCTCTTAATCTACGGTTCACTGAAGAAACCAACTCTGGATCGATTTGCCAAGGTTACCCATTACTCGACTGGGATATCGCTTCTTATGTGTCTGCTCATGGGTGTGTCCGGTTTCCTCTTTTTCGGTTCCGAGACGCAAGGCAATGTACTCAACAATTTCCCGTCTGATAACATTCTGATCAACGTAGCGCGGCTGTGAGTACTACATCTAATTGAAACTTCCGATCACCGGCGAACTAACGTGCATATAGTTGCTTTGGCCTGAACATGCTTACTACATTACCGCTAGAGGCGTTTGTTTGCCGAGAGGTTATGACGACCTACTACTTCCCCGACGAGTCTTTCAACATGAATCGACACCTGATCTTCTCAACTGCCTTGGTGCTAACATCCGTAGCCATGGCGTTAATAACCTGCGACTTGGGTGCCGTGTTTGAATTAATCGGAGCGACAAGCGCAGCTTCGTTGGCATATATCTTCCCCCCTCTGTGCTATATCAAGCTGAGCAACGGCTCTCGCAAAGCGAAAATCCCTGCATATGTGTGCATCGTCTTCGGAGTAACAGTCATGGGGGTTAGCCTTCTACAGGCGATCGGGAAAATGATAAAGAGTACGTCTTCTCCATCAATCGTCTTGGAAGACGTAGCTGACAGATGGCGGCCACAGACGAAGGTGGTACAGCGACTTGCAGTACTTAAATCTCCAGCGTTGCCTTGCCTGTATACTTACATACATTAGATCACGGCTAACTGGTTGCAAATAATTGTACATATAGACATGTGCTGCGAGCTAATACCAACCTCAATACCATTTGTTGCTCTTCTAACTTTCAGTGTACTGACCATAACCAAGCGAAACCAGAAGACTAACAGAAGAACAACGGTCTGCATAATAACCTGCACTGAGAAAGTATAGCCACTGAAAAGCCAAACGCCGACCACCAAATATTTGCTCGTCTGCATTGTTGCGTTTGCGTCCACGGGTCTCAGTACGACCCGGTTGGGATCCATCTTTCCTTTTTGGGATCCATCTTTCCTTTTTCCAACTCTCTTCGCCTCTACACTCCCACCACATTTTCAGTCAACCCTGTATCACCTTTTGTTCCAGAGGAGCTTTGTTTTCGGCATCTAGGATTTATTTTTCACGCGCAACTTCCAGGGTACTTCTTCCAGAGGGCCGGCCCCCTATCTATCGGTCCACACTTCCAGAGTGAGGTGCGGTCTAACACATGCCCTATGAGAGAAGAAGTGAACTTTTGGACTAACAATATTTAGGCCATAGGTGCCATAGGGGGCTTTCCTTTCCGTTCTTTCCTCCAAACCTGCATCGATTGTCTCAAACTGAAAGAATCCTTTTCCCACCGTTATAACACGTCCCCTCTCCCTACCCAGTCAACCACCCGTACTATGGACACAGACCCTTCTACACTCACTGCAACCTTGTGTTTACCTCAGCCTCTTATTCAGTCTCCGTGCATTCCGGCGTACAATATGGACGAAGCAGCAGCAGCAGCAGCAGCCGCAGTAGCGGAGTGCAAGAGGAAGTTGCAAGAGGTACATTCATCCCCGCCTTTCAACAAATAACCTCCAATGACTAACCCTGAGTTCGGGAATTAAAGATAGACTTAGGAACAGTTCGCAGGGAGAAAATCTCAACAGGCAGCGAGAACATCTCAACAGGCGGTCACATTTCCAGAGAAGCTAGTCTGCATTATAAGCAACATCTTGAGTTATCTAGGAGATCTAACGTGCGGGGCTCAGAAGAGCAACAACTTGCTGAAAAAAACAAGCCTCTGCTAGAAGCCTGGGCTAGTAAGATCTCTACTGGTTATTTGATGTTCACTCGCCGGGCTAACTCTGGGCTAAGGTATAGGCGAGAAAACAGACGACACCGAAGATTTAGAACATCTTGACCCCCTTCTAGATGGCCAGCTCCACCGTCTGAAGCTCCTGGATGAATTACGGGGAGGTAGTGCACATGGCCAACGACTTCCAGACAGAAGCCAGGGACATTACACACCCGTTTTTCATGATGGAGAGATACAGAACCCAAGTGCTTCAAATCGAGCTGCGAACAGGGTGTTTTCTGCACCTGCAACTCATTCGAACGGATACCCTGGCAAATCGACGAAGCACAAACTCAAGGCTCAGTCCCGCAGGGCACAGGATCCGGCGCTTGATAGGAATAACACTGTCAACAGCGCCTACAACCAATCGTTTCCGGCTCCAGCGAACCCACCCGGTCGCAGTAAGGGATTGACCTCTGAGACACTTACTGTGAGAAGGCTAATGAAAACATTATTAAGGTGCGCACACTGCTCCAAATCCTAAAGTCAAAACCAGACGACCTCCGCTGTAAGTAGCAACGGTTTTTTTTTCTGGTTCAAACTGTCTATTCTGACACTGGAAGCAGAAGTTATTCGGGGGTATGCGATCCCGCAGAGTTTCTTAAGGCGGCTGATGATTTGACGTGGGTTTCCGAACATTCTCTATCTTCGGCAAGATGTCGCTAACAGTAACAGACGCGGAGGGGAGCAGAGTTTATTTACCCAGACGACGAAGGCTCAGGTTCAACCGAAAGCGGCTGACCGTGGTGCTGAGAGTTCTTGTCTAGCTCCAAGGTCGCCAAATGTTGGAAAACCGCAAGACCGGAAAGACATCACTCGCCTCACAGCTCCTACAATTCCTGAGGACGAAACTGGTCCTGAGAACCCAGTCGGTACGCTTGTCGACTTCGACTGTGCAATGGACTCCGGGCCTGCGCCAAGCCCAGCCCTACAAGAATTGGAAGGGTTGGACTTTACGCAATCTTCGGAGCTACAAAGTACTCAATCGTCTCCTCTGGAAATCGACACTGTTTCCATGGACGAGATCCTTGCTAAAGAGATCGAGAAAGTATACAAGCTCATTGAATGCACACCTTTGTCTGATAAAAATCTATCAGCACTGATTGCATTGAAGGAGAAATTGGAGACTTGTCTCCAAAAGCTTCGAGTCCCACAAAGAGACACAGTTCAGGGTCAGCAGCTTCTTACTTCTCCAGGTCTGGAACCTGAACAGTCGAAAACCATTGCCCCGACGAAGGTACCTGAGGCTGTTTCACCTGTCGTTGAAAGCACCCCGACCCATAGCCGGAATACATCATACTCTAGGGCTAGCACATCCCCGTGTCAATCACGCTTGAATGCGCAAGCAAGAAAGTTCACACCGAACGCGAATCCGTTTTCGAAGTACCGCTCGCCTTGTCATTCTACTTCTGATTCGTCTGTAAGCCTTCAGCGCAGACCTAGTGATGAGGTCACCGCACCCGAGTCGGAAAGCGTTTTGAGTGATGGTACTGCCGTACCTGCTATCGCGGATACCCCCTTACCGGAGCCGCACAGCCCTGTCCTTAATCTCATTTACAGCAACCCTCTGCTATATGGCCCATTTCATCTATACGGTGACCATCTACTCCCTGGGCAACAACGGTTAACACCGCCCTCTGCAGTAGCACCTACATACTCTGGGACAGCTGACTCAATCTATGCTCGTGAGTGCTCAATGTATTGTTCGATGGCGACACTGCTAATATGTTTGAGCAGCCAAAGCCTCTAAGCAATCAACTCCTACTTTCGCTAAACCCCCGCCTACGAAACCAGTCAAGATTGTGGATCCTAAAACCTTAGTCTCGAAATCTCCAAACTGTGCTTCGCCGGCGCAGAGCGCAGAACCAGCAAAGGACGGCCTGACACTTCAACCCAGAAAAACAAAACAGAAGAAGCCCCAACAGATTTCTCTGCAGGAGTCTATGTATGCGCCGCGCTACACAGATCCAAAATGGCTTTGAGCACCGTTTGCTTTGGAATGGTTTTGCTTTCCAGCATCCTCCCAGCTGGATTTATGACGAGAGCGGCATCGTTGTGATGACCACTTATTAACGTCTCTTTCTTTTTCCGTTAGTTCAACTTGTTATCTTCTTTCCCTATGTTGTTTTACTTAATGTTCACATGCGCTTCTTTGTTTCGAATGCTAAAATAATAATCATTTCGCAAATAATATACGTTACTCGCCATGACCCTTAATATCCTGCTCTTTTCTTGCCGGTTTCCAGTTTTATTACGTCTGCTTTATTCCATCTGGAAAAGGCTCGACTCTATGGAAATCTTATTTGTGATGCAAACCATCATATCGATGGTGCGCCGGGCTTGGGTTTTTTGAGGGTTTGAACTACTTCAGCAAGCGATGGCATACTATTCGAGTAGTACTCCTGTATCTCGGAAGTAGTGAAAAGCACTTGCAAGACATAATCGAAGCAAACGCCCTCCTCTCTACACATTGCATGGCAGCATATTACATATCGAACTGGTAGGTTCTCTGGTATACTTAAGCACTAGAGGCCGAGGATTCCTTGAAGTCAATGCTTGAGGTCAATAGTAACAATTCGCAAGTAGAGAATGCTAGCGTCTAACGGTGACAAAAGAAATACAGCGGGCTGCAGAGTACAAGTCGAAAAAATTGGCTGGACTAAGGAAATGCACGATATTACAAGAATTAATTCAAAAAAGAGGAACTTCGCTTTTGAATTGCAGTACTGGGCGTTAATTTTAACCGGGTGGGAGGGTGCTGGCGTCGACCACGTCCGCAGCATCCTTCTCGAGCTCCTCGTTGGCCTCAAAAAGAGGAGATCGAGGCAGAGCCATGAGACCGGTTCGGGTGGACTCGAGGATACCGAAGGGAGATATGAGTTTCATGAAGGAGTCGATACGGTTTGGCTTGGCGGAACTACAATCTCGGTCAGTATGGCGTACAGCTGAAATGAGCGGGGAAGGGAGACTGACAGTTCAACAATGCAGTTATTAGTGCTGATATCCAACACCTTGCCACCGAACTGGTGAGTTAATCGTGTGATGGCATCCAAATGCTCGTGCTTGTGTCTCAGAGCCTGGCTGCTAGGCAAGTTGCGGGGATGGAATTCCTCCTTTCTCTTGGAGACCTTGTTCTCGCCGCCCTTCTCCTTCTGTGCCTCGATGGATTCAACGGGGGTAGTGATCTCGCGGTGGTGCTGTAGCAGCTCCTCAAAGAACTCAGGACCCAGGATGCTGACCTTGGCCAAGAGCAGCTCACGCTGAACAAGCGCAGAGTCCGTGTAGTCGAGAACAGCCCAGACGGGAACGAGATCGTCCAGCTGGCGGCGGGCCTGCTCGACAACGCCGTCCTGACCCTGCAGCACGATAGTCATGCGCGACAAGTCCTCCACCTCAGTGTTGCAGACAACCAGACTGTCAATGTTAAATCCGCGCGCGGCCAGGATCCCCGAGACACGGGAAAGCACACCGGGCTCGTTCTGTACCAGACAGTTCAGCACATGGCGTTTGGGCGGGTTCGTCGGGCGAACGGGGGTCTCGTAGAGGATGGAGGAGACGGCGGTGGGGGCATCCCATTGCTGAGAGAGGTCCGCTACGGGGAGAGTGAGCGGGGAGCGGCGGTGCAGGGACTTGTAGGCCAATGCTGAGGTTGAGCTGGAGGAGGCCCTGGTGGAAGTGGTGAAGGCGGACCGAATCGCTAGACGAGAGGTGCGGCTGGCCACCGATAGGAAGGACATTGACGCTGTCTTGGACAGCATCTGGGGTTGCCGGAAAGCCATGATCTCCCCGGATTGGAAGAGACAGGCGGGTAAATCACGGTGCAGGCGGTTTTGTTTGAGGAATCGCAGCGTTGATAGACTTTCGCATTTCCTTTTATCTGGGTCCGGTCACGGGTCCGACCTCGGGGAGCTGACTCATTCTCCGCCATCCGGAGTCTGACTGGCTCTCCGTCCGGAGAATACCGCTAACCTTGTCAAGACTAGTGGGCACTTTAAGTCTATAGACATGTGACCTGGAGTCTTAAGCTTCCTTGGTGCAAATGCATTGACAGCACGGCAACTCTACTCGGTCAATAAAGCAGGAACTCGGGAATCTTATCCTTGTTGCAGTTAAACCTTTGAGTGACTTATATCCCTTCAATCTCTCAGTCGGCTTTTATTGCAACAAAGAACCCCGGTCCAGCCCTCTCGCAGATTTACGCTAGTCCGGATCGTCTTTACTCCACCGCCAAACTAAACTTCTTGCAAAATACTCTAGTAGTCTACAGCCACAGGCTACACGCTCACTTTGTACTCAATTCCACCTCAGATCCCGATTCCGCGATAGCTACTATGGCTGACGACGATCGCCGTCCGAAACGCTCCCGCTTCGATCAAACCACCCCGGAGCCTCGTCGACAGTCGCGTTTCGACCGTCGTTCTCGGTCTCCTTCTTCGCGACAATCTGAAGCCACTCGAACTCGCAGCCCGCTCAGCCGTGAGCCTCGGAGCCCGGGTGCGGGCAGCAAAGCAGACCCAGCGGCTGCAGCTGGTGCGTCTTGATTGTCCTTTGATCTGAAGATATACAGTAAAAAACTTATACAGTAAAAAACTTATTAACCGCGAAATACCAGCCGCCGCCGCCGCCAAAATCAACGCCCAGTTGCAAGCTAAGAAAGGAATCCAACATGTCGATGTGCCTCCAATTCGCGCCGTTAGTTCGCCTTCCCTCACATACATTCCTCCGGCGTCGCGCATGGGCTGACAATGGTTGATCACAGACTTCCAGCCCATCCCAATCTGCCACCCCCACTGGTGGGGATGCAAAATTGAACGCGGAGATCTATGTTGCGGATGGGGACTACATCAAGGACATCGAGATTAATGACTTGCGCAATCGCTACACACTGACCAAAGGATCTACCCAGAAGATGGTAATTACTCCTGCTGCGCCCGCTGATCTTCCAGGCGCCTTTGCCCTCTAACCTTACTCGTCTCTGCTATGATCGTGAAGAAGCTTACCCAGTCCATCCATAGCATCTATCCCCTCGTTTGCATCTGCTGACCTCCAATGCGTGATATTTAGATTAAAGATGAAACTGGCGCCGGTACGCCTTCATCCCATGTTATACCAATTTTTTGACTCAAGAAGGAAGCTCATAAATTTACTTTCAAGATGTTACCACGCGAGGAAACTACTATCCCGACAAAAGCATGGCCACCGCAGCGGTACGTGAGCCCTAACACTTCTATATTACTGCTGCCGTCTAACTAGTGTTACTGGTCTGCAGAACCCACCGTTGTACCTCCACGTGACGAGCACGTCCAAAGAAGGACTTGAAAAGGCCGTTGAATTGATTGATGATCTCATGAAGAAAGAGTTACCCAATCTAGTGGATGAACGACGATTCCGCCGCCGTGAACCGGAAGTTGAGCGGGATGAGTTCGGTCGCGTACGCTCATCATTCCATTAAATCGTTAATTTGCTAACAGTCCATAGCGCAAATGGCCCGAGGAAAAGATTCCCGTCGGCCTGGAACCAATTCCTGGGTTCAACCTTCGTGCGCAAGTCGTCGGACAAGGCGGCATGTACGTGAAGCACATTCAGCAGCAGACGAGATGCAAGGTTCAAATCAAAGGTCGTGGGTCCGGCTTCATGGAGCCAAGCACCGGCAGGGAAAGTGACGATGCTATGTATCTGCACGTTGCGTGAGTATCGTCTCAAATTTAATTGAACCCCAAAACTGACAATCTTATAGTGGCCCCGACGCCAACGATGTCCAGCGCGCAAAAGCGCTATGCGAGGACTTACTGAACAATGTTCGCGAAAAGTACCAGGAACATAAAGAAAACCCACATCAGCACGGTGGCTACGGCGGCGGCTATGGAGGGAATCGCGGGAGCCGTCACGACAACTACGGAGTAGGCTACGGCGGCGGCTACGGAAGCCAGCACCAACACCAGCAATCGCCTGCCCCCGCGACAGCTAGCCCATCAGGCCAAGGAACTCCCGGAGCAACAAGCGCCGCGGACTACAGTGCGCAGTACGCCCAGTATTACGGATCCGACCCGTATGCCGCCTACGGTGGGTACCAGAACTACGTTGCCTACTACCAATATTATCAGCAAGCTGCGCAGCAGCAGCAGCAGCAGTCGCAGTCGCAGAGCCCTGCTCCTCCCCCTCCTCCTCCAGCATCTGAGGCCCCCCCGCCACCTCCCCCGGGGTCAGGGTCTCCCCCACCACCTCCTCCCGGCGGCAGCTACAGCGCCGTATGTATATCCCCTCTTGCTTTGTCTAACCACCAACTAACCTTGTCTGTCATAGGTTCCACCACCTCCAGGGCTCTGATCATCGTTTACTGAAGCCAGCCGTCTTGGATATTGAAATCGTTGAACACGTGGTTCATGCTCGCCGAATTTATTCCCTCGATATTCGAACGTTTTTAGATGAGCCTTGTAAGGCTTAATCAAGCTTTGCAGTTTGTATTCTACAATCAGCCACAACTAATTGGTCGGTGACCTGAAAAAAGGGAAAGGTAGTTGTGCAGAACATTATATGGCATTGCAAAGTGGCTTTCCTCTTTGCAAGAGTTCATCTGAAAACGCTGATGATCTATCAGGTCCAGTGTAAAATATTCTATTCCTGACAAAGGTCCGTCGTCCAGTAAGCCTGTTATGACGCCTGATTCCAAGCCTTGGCTCCTTAGCCTAACCCGTACGTAATGCAAACAATAAACAAGGTGGAGTGGAAATGTTGACAAGACACCTCCTATAATTCTTAACCGTTTCAGCGCGCCAGTTCAGGAAACATCCGATCCAGCGGAAACATCGCGTCAAGCCAGCCCGCTTGAGCAAAGTTATTGAGCTCCTCTTCAGACGCCATTTTCGCTTTGCGCGCGTTCAGCCCGTCCGTACCCTCTTTGCAGAAATCGCAGGCATAGTTGCAAGGAGATAAGGGCATGGCGACGCTTGGGAAGCTGTTACCATCAGAAGATTCAATTTCGTCTTTTGGGATCTGCGAGCCCATTTTCTCCAATTCGAGATCACCAAAGAACTCCTTGATGACTTCATGCCGGCAGCGTGTAGTAGTCTCACAATACTGTACTACTTTTTCAAAGCTCTGCTTGCGCGCGTAAAGATTTGTCAGGCGCAATACTTTCTCTCGGTTGAGGCCTGCATTTCGACCACCTGAGCTATTGTTCGCATTTTCAATGTCCCGACGTAAGTGGTTCAGAACGCGCTCTCTTTCTTGGGGGCTATAATATACTATTGACGCTGCAGCGCGGCCGTCGCGGCCTGCACGCCCGGATTCCTGAACGAAGCCTTCGAATGTGCGTGGAGGACTCCAATGGACAACGAACCGAACTTCCGGGTTGTCGATACCCATGCCAAACGCGGTTGTTGCGACGATGATGTAGAAGCTTGGCAGCTTTGCTTGATGTTCCTGTTGCTGTAGTTGTTTCTGGGGCATGATCCATTCATTTTGAACCCTGGCCCTGTCGGCCGCGGCGAGACCGGCGTGATATGCCACTGCGCGGATGCGGTTATCGCATTGACGTAAGACGTTTGCAAGTCTCTCTGCTGCTGCTCGAGTAGCTACGTAGACTATGCCGGATATTGGGGGCACTTTCGAAGCCGCGTCAATACCTAATCGAGCCTCGCGCCGGCCTTGGATAGACTGAAGCCATGAGACAAGGTCATGGACTTGAAACGCCTCCGGTTCGGAAGGATCTGGAGCGAACTCTTGCATGAACCGAATTTCGTAATGAATGTTGGGCCGGGCCGAGGGAGTGCTGAAGAGTTTAAGTTGGGATGAGTTTAGGCCCAGCATGCTGATGATGTCCTCACAAACCCGCGGAGTGGCTGTCGCTGTAAGGGCACTGATCGGCACTGGTGGGTTTGTTAGAAAATCCCTGAACCAGGAGAGATCCTTGTATGCTGGACGAAAATCATGGCCCCATTCACTGATACAGTGGGCTTCATCAATGGCAATGCGCACAAGCTCTCGTTGGCTATGCATTATTTGCAAACTCCGTCGGAGTGTGTTATTTTGGCAAGACTCGGGGGTGACATAGAGAAGTCGTATTCTAGGGTGTCCCGACAAAAGGTCTTCAACTATCAATCGTCTTTCAGCCAAGGGAATTGTGGAATTTATGGTGGCTACCGGAACACCCAATGCTTGAAGTGCGTTGACTTGATCAGTCTAGAAAAGCGTCAACTCGTTTCGGCAGTCAAGAATATACAGAAACGAGGGACCATTGAAGCACTTGATCTGAACTCACCATCAAAGACAGCAGAGGGCATACAACCACAGTCACTATTTAAAGGGTTTAGTGCTGGTTCGAGATTGAGCTATCTGTCAAAGGAATAACACCAACCTCCATGAGTAGTCATGGCCGGTAGCTGGTAGCATAAGCTCTTTCCGAAGGAGGTCGAGGCCTGGAGAAAAACATCGTGGCCCTCAACCACGGCGGTGATCACTTCTCGCTGAAGGGGACTGAAGTTCGATCAGCTTCAGAGCCACGCCAGTGTGGGCTATAGAGAGGCTTACCGGAATGACTTCTTCTGAAACACACGGTGAAGGTAGAAATCTAGATCAACCTTCCGGCGGTGCAGAGTGTTGTGCAACATCACTTCAGCATGTTTACAGATGCAACGCACAGCTATGCAAGTTCGAAGGGACTTGTTGGATATCTCTGCGGTAGACGCAATCGAACCGCGATAGATCGTACCTAATAGAGGATCCGATCATCAATTCGAGGTAAACTGAGCGAATATAGAAGTGAGCGAGGAATGAGGAAGGTCCACTATGAACCGTGGTTGCCCAACACTCTTCAACGCGATGCCAACGCGATGCCAACGCGATGCATACGCGGTGTCACGTGAGCTTAATCGATTTGCAGTGCAGCGCCAGAGGATTCGAAGCGTATTTTATGTCTAATAATGCCAAATATATTACATCGCTAAAATACAAGTTATCCTGGGACAGCAAGATGTGTCCGCACGGATGAGGCTCGACGGCAAGCCTATAATGTACACAGATGTTATTCCTTCCCAAAATCCACACGGCGACGGGCCCTGTTCATTTGGTACTCCAGTTCCTCCTTGACGGCCAGTACATCCAGTCCCCTACGTTTCTCAGGCTGCCATACACCCTCCATGCGAAGCCAGACCTCCATGATATCGTCGGGCCCGCAGCAGGCGCCAAATGCACGTAGGATGATGATGATCATTCGACGGCCTAAAAAAACTCCGTTCTCAATTCGGTACTCCAGCCATTTGACGGTTTCTTCTTCGCGTGGGCGTGGCTGGGCTGGGCCTGTCTGTAGGTAGAAATCAACATCCAAATCCGGTCTATATAGGTCATCATCCCCATATATACTTGGTTGGGGTTCTTCTTGCCCATATACACTTGATTGGCGTTCTTCTTGCCCATATACACTTGATTGGCGTTCTTCTTGCCCATACACACTTGGTTGGTGTTCTTCTTGCCCTTGAGATGCCTCCGTTGTAGCGAAAGGCAAGGGCATATATAGCTCAGTGGAACTGCTCATCAACACACTGGGGGTTGCAGTGCCATCGTCTCTCAACGGGTTATGCCAGACATAATTTGGCGGCAAAGCAAATGATTGGTGCTGGGTTCTAATCTTGGACTCATAGAGATCCCGGAGATAGGCTCGCCAAACCATTCGCAGTTTTGCCACCGTCCAGCCTCTGTTGCGTCGGCCATGGCGGGCAAACCCTTCGAAAAGCAGCAGAAAGATCAGGCCGCGTGGCGGTACAGCAAAGGTCTTTTCCATATCCATTAGGACCGATTCGAACGCATTCAAATCCCCAGATTTGTGCGCATGATGAGCCAAAAGTATATGAAAAGTTCGCGTATCGGGGCCTGTCGGAAGGGCTTCTTGAAGGGCACTGTGATGTTGTGGGAGTTTGCTTTTCAGAGACGCTGACGCCTGAAAAACACGACCGGTCTTCTTGGAGAATTTCCGGTAAGCGACCAGATCTGCCGTGAGACCTTGTCGCGCAATTCGCGTCTCGGATCGAGTCTGCAATAGGCGCTGGTATACTTGCATCGCGGACCCAGGTTCACCAGCATTGAGAAGGGAGGTCATAAGACAGTTCATCACCGCGGTGTCAACAAGCTCTCCGGTATTAATATACTCATCAAAAGCCCGACAGACGCCATCAGCGTCCCCAATTACTCCCCGATAGAATATATTGCTGATCTTTCCCATGCGATCAAACTGTATCTTCCTCTTCGCCATTTCTTCGACGAAGCGCTCGGCGACTGAGTATTGGCCTGCTTTGATCGCTGTAGTGAATAAAATCGTGAAAACCGCGCTGTCTGATCGAATTCCCGCTAAATGCTCCATCTGATTCCATACACCGATTGCCCGTATCAAGCCACCTTTAGTAACCGCGTTGCCTGAGGATCGACCTGCTAGATAGATAGCAGAGGACCAAAGCGACCGTGACATCGAATAGTTTGCAGCCAACATATCTTCCACCAGAGCTAGATAACGTCGGGAATCGATCCAACGGCAATCCGGTGGATTGGCGAACCTACGCAGAAGCAGCCCGCGAGAGCGCCGTGAGAGATGCTTCACCCCGGGAGACGGAAGTTCCCTGTAAAGCGAGAATAGGAAATGATTCGACTTTGATTTGTCTGCAATGTGTTCCTCAAATTGTCGGACAGTGCTAAAATTCACAGAGCTTTGCGAGTTATCGAATCTCGGTGGAAATGGGTCGAAAGCGGCAGCAGCAAGAGTTGCCTCTTCCCATCCTTTATCTCCCAGCAATTCCTTAAAGACCTCGGCTGTATCATGGTATAGTCTTTTTGCAGCGCTCTTGTAGCTTTCGGTCCTGTCTGCAAGTCGAACGGGGTTTTCCTCGTTGCTCACTTCGTGGTCTGTGGCGCGACTTGTAACATGCTTCCGATCCTCGTGAGAAGCAATGTTGTGAGGTGATGGTTCAAGACTCGTATGTTCGTGCTGTAGCCGCCGTGACGCAGAATTGGGATCGCTCGGACGGTTTAGTCTCGCATAGTTGACGGGTGTCGCGTGCGAAGATTGCGGTGTCGATGAATCGTTTATCCGATTATCTTCGGAATCAGGAACTTCCACCCGCTGTGCGACCGTGGAAGTAAAGATCCTTTGTGTCTTTGGTCGGCGTAATCCAAAGCTTTCAATTCGGTTTATAAACTTCGGTAGATGTTTGGCCGGAGCCAGCCTGCGGCCTCTCCCCAAGGCCCTGTTCCCCGCGGATCCCCACGAGGTCTTCGCTGATGTTGTGCTAATCCCCCTGCTTCGAGGGGAGTGTTCGTGACAGTAGCCAGCTACCACCAAGGAGCGGATAAATATGTCCGCTACAGACGTCGCGACCGGTCGGGCACGAGGAGAGGAGCCGATTCGCCGGACGGAAGCATTTGAGAGGAAAGATGCCTGATGACGCATAGGCTCAGGGTCGGAGGGTAAGCCCCTACTCGATCCCTGCGCAGGTAGTGATCGCAGGTGTGGTGGGCTCTGGGACTTATTGGGCTGAGGCATGGGATGGCAGACATTGTGGTCTCGATTCAGCCATGCATAACCCAAATAAGTCTGGAGAGACTTGTATATTGAGCAGAGAGTGGAGGAGGACGTAAAATTGAGTATTCAAGGGCGGCGCAAAGAGACACAGGTGTTCTCAGCGTGGAATTGCAGTTGAGTCCTCTTGGTCGCTGTCTGGGTTCAATATTTGAGCAGATGCGCTTTTCTGGACGGAGCGGAGTCTGCGCTCGGGCCAATCGGAGCCGTCCATTGCCAATCCATCTTTTCCTCATCAAGCCGCCAGCTCCTCGTCGAACACGGCTCCTCCAACAAGCGATCATTCAACCTTGCTTCACCTCCGGAGCTCACTGCACGAAGCCGCTCTCCCGGAGAATTGCTAATAGTCATTCAATCGCCGCTTACGATCCTCGCTAGCGTCACCCACCACAGCATAGCAGCTGCCGCCTATTGACGATGGGGAAATTCAACCTCACAGCACTCCGCGTGCGGAAAACCGCAATCGACTCATTCGCCGCTGGGAAGAAAGGTTCTGTCCCTCAATGGGCTGATATTGTTGGCGATATTCCCCCTGCCCAGATTCTCGTGCGCGACCGACCTCAGCAGCACCAACTTGTACGGCAACGCCTGAAGACCTTGCCGGGAAACTCACGGCCTTCGGCCGTGTTTTCGGTCCAACAGAAGCGCGTGAAGCCAAAGAAAGCCAGCCGCATGTTTTTGCCCGTTGAGATCAAGTACGAGGAGGATCACCTGCGCAAAAAGTTCTTCAGTGACCATCCTTGGGAACTGGCAAGACCTAGAATTCTTGTTGAGGTTTCTGGAAAGGACTTTGAGAACTATGACTGGAGCAGGATGCAGCAGCCGGGCAAGAAGCTGGATGGCGAGAGGTACGTATTGGTCCCCTGGAGATATCCTCCTAGCTAGGTTATCGGTACTGGTGGCTAACATCCAATATCCTAGTGTCGTACAACGACAGTTGTGGCTCCTGCATAACATTCCCAACATGACAGAGAGTCGTGCTTACGACATCGCGCGCCGCGAATTCTACCGACTCCGTCTACAAGAAGACATTGAGCGTCGAGTAGCTGCCGAGGAGGCGGAGGCTACAGGTGCGGTCTTCGGGCCTACTCGCCTGGAGATTGGCATGGAACTTGAGAACCAGCAGTTCGAGGCCTGGAAGTCATGGGCGAAGACGGAAGCACAGATTGTCGACTCTGCGTTAGCAGAGGACGGTCCTCATGGTGCACGCGAGAGCCTCCCTTGATTGGGTTGGTTTCTCCAGTCGGCTCTGGACTGGGAGGAAGTAGTTTATATTATGGCTCATGTATATTACTGCACTCTGTTTGCTTGTCTTTTCCGCTCTTGTACACCTCCCGGCGAGTCGATTTACGTGATGGGGAGCTGCATTTGTTTCGATATCCATTTAGAATGCGCAAAAAAAACCTGAAAATATAACAACTTAAATTATTATATTTAAGAACAAGATCAACCAAGATCCATTCTGAAGTGTATCAAATTGGGCTTTGTTGGACTGTATGACCAGGCCAGTCGCTGTTATCATCGGAGACGCGAACATCGGAGACACGAACTTGGGGTTCTCCGGCCGTTTCACCTCAACCTCAACCTCAATTTGTCCCGCCTAATTTTGCGGGCACAGGAACACATGGTCTTTGCAGCGGTATTGCTCAGGTTTAATGCTATTTATATCATCTTTCGTCTTTCAGACGAGGCCGCAAATCCAGGCAGTATCTCGCTAACCGCCTAGACCGTTCCTACCCTATGAGACAGACCCATCGCGGTTGAGAACCACACGCAGGGACTCCCAAGTCTTCGACATATACAGCCTGTCAGTTTTCGTCTCAGTCTGCAACTGTCCGATTACTATATTTTATACCCCTTTGCTCCCCACCGATCAAGTCAGACGAGCCACGGTCTATTCCAAGTTTGTCCAACACAACGGACGGTCTCGGCCCCGGCTTTGTTTCGCGCTTTGAACAAACTCGATCCTTCGTTCGTCTACGCTGCTCTCGATTTCTCGCTCTTCTCTATCCTTACGCTCTCTCGTCCGGGGTTATTGCTAGTATCCCAATACTCCGTTGTCGAACATGCTCGGTTCCGGCCCAGACATTCGCTGCGGAGATCTCCAGGCTGTTTGATTGATTGTCCGAGGGGTCAAGACTGAATGCATGCGTTGAGTGGATGAATCGCCGCCGCTCTCTTCCATTTCACCATGATTTCTACCATGGTTCGCCCGGAGGATACTCTGAGAATGCCTCACTCATACCGAGATCTCGAAGAGGAAGATGCCAGTCGACATAACCCGGAATCAGCGGCGCCCTCATCTTCATCGTCATCTAATACTGAAGGGTCAACCAAGAGTGAGGATGAAGCCACATTGGTCAACGAGTCTATCGGGGATAGAAGCAACAAATCTGCAAAGTCGCGTGAACCGCTTACCCCGGAGGAAACAATCCAGCTTGCGCGCCGAGCGGTAGAGAATGGGATTCAAGAAACGAAACGCTCCTTGGCAGGAAGTGAGGCAGTTGGTGATGTGGTCAAGCCGAAGTTGACCATCGATTTGGGTCACTCAAACATTAGTCGCATCCCGGAGCCCGTTGTGGATGCTATCAAGGATGAAGTGGAACGGTATGCAGCAAAACAGCGCCTCCCGAGCCTCAGTCGCATAGAAATCATTGAAACTTCTTCTAACATGAAGCTGACCCCGCCGTAGACTCTCGTTATCGAACAATCAGCTGGTGCATATACCCTACCGGTTTGCAGAGTGCGCTCATCTTCGTTATCTTAATGTCAGAGCCAACAACTTCCGTGAATTTCCTAGAGGAGTACGTCCTGTTTGCTCGATCTCTTATCTTAAGCTTTCTGACATTCGTTCAGGTGATTAAACTGCCACTACTCGAGATATTGGATTTGAGCCGCAACAAGATAAGCCAACTTCCGGAAGAAATTAAAAAGTTGACATCTCTCCGAGTCCTGTCGGTGATGCAGAACCGTCTTGACGACCTACCACTTGGTGTGTCAGATATGAACAAACTTCAGATCCTCAAAGTAGCCGGAAATCCTCTGCGACATCCGCTCCGCAAAGCAATAGAAACATCTGAGCTTGAGATTGCGTCTTCGACAATGAGTGATAACGAGAAGGAAGTTGCTTTAACAGCTGAATTAAAAAGATATCTCAAGACGCGGCAGCCTGCTACCCCTAACGACTTTGAAAAAAGCAACGAAAGGTATACTTAGCAACTTTAGCTGGTTTGAGACTTGAGCTGATTTTGACCGCATAGTGACGGAGTCTTGGACACTCCGAAGCCTGTCAAAAGGGGGGTGAGCAGTCGCTTCCCAGTTATCCCGAGCACCGGCGACAGCACTGATCCCAAGTCCCCGTCATTAACCCGGCCGCCTCCCATTCCCCTCAAGTCCCATTACCGCATTGCTTCTGGACATGGCGGTGCCTTGCATGGCCTCCAGCGACCCGGACCCATCCCGGGGGCTAACGAGCGGAACCGAAGCAATAGCGAGGGCATTATACAAGCCTCCTTTGCCACACGATCTAAGCGCATGGGAGTCGTCAGTCGGAAAAATACCGACTTGGGCACGTTGGATGAGATGCGACCGTACCGAAATAGCCATCTCCGTGGACTCAGTTATGGCTCTATCCTTCGGACAAGGCCATCCATCAGCAATTCATCTAGTCCTAGCAGTCCAAGGGAGCGCAGGAGACCCAGAGATGGATTCGTGAATCGGATGTCGAGCCTGCCAGAGCACAAGGGCGAATGGGAAACTGGTGACCCTATTATAAGAAGTGCTAAAGGAATTCTCTTCGCCCTTTTCCAAGTCCAGTCTCATGTCTATGCGCTGATCAATGTCATAAAACGGGATGACCACCGTCGAAACAGCCTCGAAATTGTCTTCTATAATGCTTCTACGCATGTGGATAGACTTAACGAAGCTCTTGAAATTGCAGAAAAGTCACGGGCAGACGATGCAGAGCCCATGCGAGCCTCATATGAGGCGGTCAAAAGGGAATGCGAGACGTGTATCATGGCGTATTCTCATGTTGGAACCCAGCTACGCAACAGTCTTGACAGAATCGTTGCCAACGGCGACTCGCGCTATATTCGTTCGCTGATGCTTATGATATTCGGTAGCGTGGTTGAGCTTCGCAACGCTTGTGCTTGCTTGGAAGTGCCCGTTGGGTCTCGACCGAAGCCTACCGCAAGACCCCCAGTTCCTGAGATCAGCAGAGAGTCCGCGGACTCTGACAGGTTCCATGGTCCAACTGTTACCCCAACGCGTGGTAGAGAGCCGTCGTTCTCGACCCGTCGGCTCCGTAGCGATACAACAATTCTACATCCACAAATCGGCATGAATGGGCCATTACCAGCCTCAGCGACATTCCAGTCCGCCGTTAGCTCTCCGGGCTTTGCTTCGACTCCGTTTAGCTATGGGGCGCGAAGCCGGTCAAGCAGTCGGTCAAATCATATCAATACCTCTATACCTTCGTCTCTTGCTACCCCTCGGTCAGGCGAGTCGTTCCCCCCAATGCCCACCTCGGTCGTACCTAGAATCAACCCCTTGACGGGCTTAGACGAGATAGAAGAGGAGCGAATCTTCGAAAAGATCTTCTATCAGCTCACCGCTGCATATACAGCTGCTCTTCAAGCATTACCTGTTGCCCGCCGCCACTTCACAAGAAACCTTGAGGTCGCGGAGCAGAATCGAGAATTTGAAGACATTCAAATGCTCTGGAACAATCTCATTCGCCGCTGCCGAGTATGCTTGGAGGTATCCGAAGCTCTCGGGCTTCGTCTGTCCAATATGAAAATCAAGGAGCCAGGCGGCGGGATGCGAAACCAGCGCGAGTTTTGGCAACTCTGCAAAGCCTTTATGCAGTCTTTTGTCGAGTTAGTAACGGATATGCGCGAAGTGCGGAGCATGCATCTACTCCCATCTGAAGTGATCGTGATCCTTCGACCGGTCCAAAAGTC